AGACTTCTTAAAACATTAATAATATTTATTAATTAAAGATCCCGAACCTTGTTAGGTTGAATAAATATGGTCCGAGAAATCGTAGAAGTACAGAACTACTGCTTCTGACAAGCGCACAGAATGAATAAATAAAAATAAACGATTGAAAGAATTTGCAATTTCCAGAATCTACAAGTATCTAAGGTGTTTTATTGAAAATATGAAAGATGGTAGTTAATAGTTGCAGTAGATGGTGAAAATGGGTTAAATTAATAAGAGTTTTGATAAAACGCGACTCACCCATTCAGGTATAACTAACATAAGACTATTGTTAAAATAATAATGTTTACTAATTGAAGTTCCCGGACTTTATTTGTTTTTAATTGAATCAGTATGGAGGTACGGTAGTCGCTTTCTTGCAAATGTATGTTATGAATCTATAAAATAGACGCCGAAACACTCATTCCACAGAATCTACATGCATTAGTGTTACTTATTTAATTTATTATATATATATTTATCTGTGATAGATGGTACTTGGTAATGGTAATGGTTTATGGCTTAAGCCTTTATGCATTGCGACCAGCCTGATCTATTGTGCACCCCTTTGTTTTTAGAAGTTTAGTATATCGAGGAAACGAACCAGCCCTTTCGAAGTGAGCTTCATCTGCTAATAGGTATGCACCTAGAATTTTACGTCTCATGTGCATCACAATTGGTGATCAGGTGTTGCATAGACTCTTCTTCATCACCGCAGAATTTGCAAATACTTGTGCTGGATATACCTATTTTGTGCAGGTATTCATTGTAGGCAGATTGACCATTTAGTGCACCAGAGAGTGACTTTAGACTCTTCTTGTTTAGAGTTAGAACGATGTTTGCTCATTTGGCGTCAAAATTGAAGACTTGCCATTCCAATAGACTGTGATTTTTTGTTGAATCGATTTTCTGGAATCATATTTTATATTGTTTTTATTGAAGCCAAAGAAGAGGTTTAAACCAATAAATGGTTCTTCCGATAAATGGATCAACCTTTTTGTTAACTTCGTGTCCTTTATGTCCGGGCACCCAAATCAGATAGACCTGTTTGTGTGAGGCCAGTTGATTGAGTGCATTGTTTCACACTCTATGAGGACTTCTAATGTAAATGTGTAGCTTTATAGAGCTTATAGACGGTACTTAATACGAGGACGTATAGTGAATTAATCTTATCAATATTTTTGTCGTTGCCTTGCAAGAAAATAGTCAGTGGTTATGCTAGGACTATAGAGTCAAGAAACTTTTATATATACTATATCTGTGCTGTTCAGTTAATTATAATAAGTTTTTTTAAATTTACTTGTAATAATTATTTTATTAAGAGAAATGTTAATATGTGCAAAAAGTGACTCAAATCTACATTGATTCAGTGGAAACGATTTCGTATATCAAAAAAGTACAGAGTCATTATTACCAGGAAATACGTACACGTTTAACTTTTTCGCTCTATTGACTTGCATAAATGTCCGAATTACTCGTATTTTTATTTCTTTATATTTAACATTTCCAGAGTTGTTAAATTTCAAGCAATTTGTTATTAATGATTTGAAAAATGAGCGTTTCACGTGAGTCAAAACATGAGACAGGCACGAAACCTACCAAGACCAAGAGTGTCAAAATATAAAAAGTAAATAAATTTTTTAAAAATATTTAAAAAAAAATTGAAAAAATGAAATCAAATAAAAAAAGTGTAAATATGCAAGTGATTCATCACATATTCATATGAGTACATCAATTTCGACCTCAAAGGTGTGCCAACAACAAATTCAGTCCAAAATATATCACAACACTAGCAGGGAGCAGGGAGAGTACCAGAACGCAGAACTTGGCCAGAATTTCTTACTTTTTGCTTGTTTATTTAATGTTTATCGTTACGAGTATTTTTATATAAACAAGCATAATTTTTCGGACAAATACGAGTGAATTTCTTTTATTTAAACAAATATAAAAATGTACAAAAACAGTTAACAAAGTGGCCAAAAAATCCAAAAACCAGGCTGAAGTTGATTAAAAAACTGATTTTGATTTGATTTCCTTGTTTGTCCGTTGTCCGTTTGTCCGTTTGCCCGTTGCCGGGTTGCTCCTTTGTGTGAAATTAAAAATTCATTAAAATAAACTTGAGCTGGCAGACAGACGTACAGAATGACTGAGTTTCGGAAACATGGCAATTTCTTTTATTTAATTTAATTTATGCATTTGTGAAATGTCTCGCTATTCCAGCGGTTGAAACATCTTTTAAAATTAGCCAAAGTGCGTTTATACGAAATCAAAATGAAAATGAAAAAGTATCTGAAGGCACACACATATCAAAAGATACAAAGATACAATGTGTTTTTTATTTGAGAAAGGTTCTGAGTATTAATGGAAATATCGTTAACAAGCACAATTTTTTGAAAAGGAATCAAATTAAAATGCGAAACTAAAATGAAAAAAAAAAAATTTAATAAATTCGCGTACAAAATCGTTTACAAAAAGTTTACCAAAAATTTATGAAATGCAATCAAAATCGCATCAAAGTTAAGTTATGAGCAAACAAACCATCCGACAGGCTCCGTTCAATAGCAGAACCCCTTTCAACGGAAGAAGTTGCTATCTGAATTGTATAGTTCACTTGGAAACCCAAGTCGAAGAATTAAAATAAACACATTACATGACCAAAGAAAAGAAAAACATAATTTGTTTATTAATTTTTTTTCTTAAGGACTTCAAATTTGCTGAACTTAATTCAATAATTCTTTTTTAATTAACCGTGTTAACACTCTTGAATAAATATTTACAGTGGAAAAAGGATAATAAAATTTCATGTGAAATCATATTTCCATTTTCTTCGCATTTTTGGTGGTGTTAGCTGACATTTTTCTAAAGTTTGTGGTAATATATATACTAATATATACAGAAAGACCCTCCCTATAACGCGTGATTGTTTTCGCATTATAGGAAAACGCGTTATAGGGGTGTAATTATGAACTGTACAAATCCCCACGTTATATGGGGGATAGAAATCGCGTAATATGAAAACGCGTTATAAGAGTACCACGTTATAGGGGGGTTTACCGTATTTGAGTGTAGCGTGCTTCTCATATATTTGTAATTTGATTGTTAAGGAGGGAATACAAAATTACACTTAAATTAACATTGTTGTTTTTGAAAACACGAAGACTAATTAATTTCGTCGTTTACGAACTTCGTGATTTATTAAAATAATACACGAGTAAAATAAAAATATAATTTATTGGAAAGTTGAAGAATACAGTTCGTCTCTTGTCTTTCGAAAAGTGATAAATATTCGACCGATGTGTTTATTAACTTTCCAAACGCTTCTTTTGTATGTTATGTAGGAAGAATATTGAAATTTCTTAGAGAAAAAAAAATGTTGATGAGGATGTTTTTTTAACTTGAAAGAAAAACGTTTAAAAGTTTTGGTTTTTCTCCTTTTTGCTCACTCATATCATAGCAAAATTATTCTAGATATTTTCGCATGATTGTACAAATTGCTGTAGTTCCCTCTCATTATTCGCAAGTATCGCCACACTCAACTTTAAAAATTCTTCAAAGAGGAAAAAATATTGCCTTAAGAAAACTGGTTAACGCCTCATGGTACGTAAGAGGAGCGGATATCCACAGAGATCTGACAGTCGATTAATCGAAAAATACGTTAAAGATCGTGCTCTGAAACTGTTCAATATAATTGACAGTTCCAATAATCCAACTCTCAGCATCCTAAAAATACAGCGTAATTTGATAAACACAGGCAGATACAAAGACATCAGATCCATCATATTATAAAGCCCCGTATTCAGTTATTCTTAGTGTGACTTAAAACTCTCCACAGATAAAATAGAGTAAAGGTGCTGATTCACCAACTCAGACATCTGAATATCAATATATATATCATTTAAATCTGTTTAAAACTGCTCTGAGAGCGAATATGAAATGTGAATTTACACTTTAGAATACAAAAAAAGTTGCCCTGTGAATGCTAACCTAAGACGACTCAGGGCAGTTAACTCAACAAACCATATATTATGCTTAATACGGTAGTATATTTGCACTTATGTTATTGTAACTATATTCATTCATATTATAATTATAAAATATAAATAATATCTAAGTATGCATATAATATCTAATATAATGAGTAGAAGAGAAGTATTTGATTCAAAAAAATATTGTGCATCAAAATGGCTCCAACAGAGTTTGAGAATTTCTGACTACAGTTTTTTAGAATTATGATAGTTATTAAGTTGTTTGTTAATTCTATGAGAATGTGCCAATTCTATGTAGCCAATAGGTGTCGTATTTGGACCACTTCAGTCTAACATCCAGATTATTTGTTGTAATAAAAATTACACTTTCTAATGGATTAAGATTTTTAATAATAAAAATAAGTAATTATACATTTTTTTCTAAATAATCGTCTTGATCATAAGCACTGATTTATATCATATTCCTATATATTTTATTAAATCTGATCCACAGTAACTGCAAATACTCTCACACACCCCCTTTGAGTTGCGTTTATGTTAAATAAGCAAACAGAATTTGGTGTGCCACTTTTAATAAACTTTTTGTGTTACTGTTGTCGTTAAGTGTAAATATAAAAGATTTATAAAAAAACATGAGATACATATAAACGAAAAAATTAAATTTTTTATTCAAACAATTCAGACAATCGGAGCCTTTAGCCACATCATTCGCAGATAAGGCGAGTAAACGCTTTTTCACTGTAAATTTTATGAACTCTTTTTTGGGTTGACATTGTTGCGCCTTTCTTTCGGGGATTCAGTTTATTTTACGTCTTCTTAGCTTTTACAAAAGATTCCAACTTCAGAATTGCGAAAAGAAACAAAAAATTATGATTTTTAAGTTGAAAAATTTTCGTATCTTTTTTAATGTGATTGATTGAATTTCTTATCTTCGCACTGCGTGCCCGATGCTGACAATATTGCATTTCATATGCTTTCAGTGAATTCCCCTTGCGATGCAGTAAAGTTCGGTTTAATAACTTGTGAGATACATTTTTTTGTTTCCATATCATTGGTATCAGATTGTATGAGGTGTCGAGTATTAAATGCCCTTTTATCTTGTTGAACACGCAAATAATGCGAAT